ACCGGAGTCTATGAGTGCAGACAGAGTGAAGGAGTCGTCGGAGCTGAGTAGGGTGGCAGGAAGGAGGAGTCAGGGTTGATTCTGTAGGTAGAGATGGTCCGACAGTGTCCCCGTGTCTACTGTCGGACCCTCTCTTTTGGGCGAATGGAACATGAAGAGACAAAATGGCCGGAGGAGCCACAGTAGAGACACTGGTTGGCTTGGATTTGTCGCTGTCGCTCCTCCTGTGTCAAGTGGGTACGACCCAGCTGCATGGGTTCAGTTTCAACAGGATGAGAGCGAGGAGGAGGAGATGTGTTGAGGCTGGATCCAGAGGTTGTAGAGTAGGTGCTTGGTCGGAGTGTGGTTTTCTGGATTTTGTCTCTTGCTTTTTCCCTCAGGCGGTTGTCAAGCCTGACAGCGAGTGTGATTAAGTCATTCAGGTTATGAGGTTCGTCTAGCAATTTTAGCTCGTCTCTCACCGGCTCATTCAGTGCATGAAAAAACTCACTCATTAGTGACTCTTCGTTCCAAGTAGAAGAAGCGGCAAGGGTGCGGAATTCTATTGAGAATTTGGCCACTGATTTATTGCCCTGTTTTGCCCTCCGTAATGCACTGGAGTATGTGGAGCGGTCAGCTTCCAGGTCAAAGGTTTGATTTAACTCCTCCACAAATGTATTAAAAGTGCAATTAAATCCACGGGCATTACGGAATCGGGCCTCGGCCCATCTTAAGGCCTTTCCTTTCAATAATCCAATGATGAAAGAGATTTTTGAGTCATCATCCGGAAAGGAATATGGTGAGGACTTAAACACGAGTGTACATTGAAATAAGAAGCTCGCACAGCCACCCACCTCTTCTGCATAATGTTCGGGAACTGGGGCTGGAAAATGATGAGAAGCTACTGTAGAGGTGGGTGCTGGATGGTCTGGAAAGGTCGCAGCGCCACCTTGTGGCTGAGGAGGGCTGAACTTGCTGGCTACATCGGACAAGAGAATTGTGAGCTGATCCAGACGTTGGTTCGTGACAGCTAGTTGGTCCCTAAGGTTCTGAAGAAATGAATCATGCATTTGTAAAAGATTATTTTGATCAGCTACTGATCTCCTAAGAGTCTCTGCGGGGTCGGTTTGGCCAGATTGTTCTGTCATGGTTTTTTCTCTATTTAGATATTTGACCCACATACAAGATGACTCTCAAGAGACCAGGAGATGTAGTAAAAAAGTTTATTAGAGGAGAGCGGAGGCAGGGATGGGCTGGTTCCGGAGCTAGAGATTGGATCACTGGAAGAAATAACACATGAAATGATGATCGGGATGGGGAGATATTTATATAGATAGTGGGGAGAGTTCTTTCCGAGATTTGGTTGTAGCGGAGCGTGGGAGAGGTTGGTATGAGACTTCCACACAAAGGTGTAATCCAGAACGGGTTCTAGGAATCCACTAAGGCAAACAAGAGTGGCTGGTTCACTGGCTCCTTTATTCCTCCCGTCTAATTACATGATGGGCTGCAGGTGAGCAGGGTGACTCTGCAGCCGAGGTAATTAGCTGGATGCAGTCTCCTTAAGAGTCTCCCTAGCCCTCCAACAACCCGTGAAGAAGAAATATGAACCCAGAAACCCAGTACCTTACACTTATGAATGAGAGAAGACACAAGACGTTTTCCTCCAACTATCCAATAGCCAGCACCACGGAGAGCTCCTTCAGTTATGTGTCTTCCCAAAGCCCCCACAATGCGGCTCTAAAATTGAGGCCAACCCGGAAGTACCAAAAATTGCAGTTCCACCCTCATCCACTAGGGGCTGGTGTCAGAAGCGAGCAAATCCCCATTGACTCTCATGTTAAAAATACCAATTTCACAGCAGAAATAAACATGTTTACAGCCTGGTACCAAAACATGTTTTTTGTTTAAATTATCTAGTTTACACTCATGACAAATCTGAGGGGGGTGATTTTTTTTTCTCACTCTTCTGTTTAAGTGTATTAAAAGCCTAAAATTCTGTATAATTAATGAGCATCAGACCCACGTGACCACAGAGCTAGCTCCGTGGAAAGGCCTCAGTAGAGCCTCGATCTGGCTTGGAAACTGCTCCGGCATTTTGAGTCTCTGTGTTTGTGTCATGGGTGATTCTGCAGGTTGAGTGCTTTGCAGTCTTGTTTCTGGTTTTATTGTATTTTTGGTACTTCCTGATTTATTTTGTGCATTCACTTCCTGTCTCATTACAGGCAGCTTCACGACATGAGGCTCCTCACTAATCTTCATGTCTTGCACCTGGGTCCTGGCTTCTCCATTTAAGCGTCTTTGCAACAGTTTCCTTTGCCAGTTTGTCTTCTTCAGTTGAGTACTGTGAACCTGCTCTCAGTAACACTTTGTGAGAGTGTATTTAGTTAGTTTTGGACTTGTTCAGTTGTGCTGTAATCCCTTTTGCTGATTAAAACTGTGTGAGCTCTGCATTTGAGTCCTCTTTGTGCTTTGATAGTTTGTGTATTCTGTTTTGGATATTATTTATGCAATTGATGGACAAAATGACTTGCCGTAGCATTAATTGCACTAATAGAGCGTCCACGGAGTCTCCACTTCATTTTTTCGGTAAGTAAAATTATATTTATGTATTTTAGGTCACTGCCGAGCTGAGCTTAGATTTTAACATGTACTGTTTAACCATGAAATTTAAATGTAATAGGGTAAAACCCAGTGCATTTAACATGACATGTTGGTGGAGCTGGGTTCCCACTATCGGCTTGTGGAGCTCTCGGGAGACCGATGTTTTCCACCCCTTTCTCCCCTCCCCGCAGCTCGGTGCATCTCTGTCTGATCGCGGCTTCTGTCTGCTGCGCGGGCTGACGGCTTGTGGAGCTCTGGGATGAAAACCTTTCCACCCGGTTCTCCCCAGCGGCAGCTCTGCGCATCTCAGATCACAGTGGCGCTTGTCTGCTGTGCGGCTGCCGGCTTGTGGAGCTCTCGGAGACCTCTGTGTTCCACCCAGTTTTACCCAGCGGTCAGCCCGGCGTATCTCTGACTCAGAAGCTCTGGTGTTGTGCACAGTTAACTCCGGTTGTAGTTAGGTTGCTACCTCCGTTAGCTTAGCTCCCACCTCCGTGTTAGCTTTGGGTTAGCTTCAGGTTAGCTTGTAGCTAGTTCGACCGGGTGTCGTCAGTTGATCCCAGCCTTACAGCCCCACCCTCAGCTCCACCTCTCTTCCTTTTTGTGGAATTGTCTGGGCTTGACGGAACCTGTGACATGGTCAAAATGGCGGTGGTGGCCACCTCCCATTTAGCCTCAAAAACGTGTTATTGGAGCCTGTGGAAACCCATTGTCCATATATGTATGTCGATGGTCTCCCCTGATAAGCCACTTTTTCATGGAAGTAACGTACGAGCAGGGTAGCAACGTGGCTGCCAGATGGGATTATTAGAAGGTGCTTTTCATTCTCTGTGAAGTCGGCAGAGGAGGGAAGTCCACCAACTCATAAGAGGTTGTCCTCGTCGACTACAGGGTTGGGTTTTGTTAGTGTGTCATGTTTTGCGTTTGTCTGTTTTTCTTTCACAAGGTTTTTAAATGTGTCTTTGTAGGCATCATGTTGGACAGCTCGAATAATCACTAACTTTGCTTGTGTGAGTTCTTGGATGCTTGGTGTCTCACTGAAACCTTTCCATCCACTTTGTCCATTTGTTTTCTGCCTGAAAATTTTGATTACATGAATGAGTCTGGCAATGACCCGTCCAGTTTGAGAATCTTTCAAGACGTTCAGAGCCCAGATGTGGCTCTAGCATAAGCTAGTTTAGCTTGTGCTGCTTGAGCTTTAGCGTACGCTTTAGTGGCAGAAAAACCTGATGATGATGAAGATGTCTGTAGCGTGATGAATTGTCCATTTCTGACCTAAAGGCCCTGCTCTATTTGCTCTGCCCAAGCAAAACCATACGTTTCTGACACAAGCCTAATCTACAAGACACGGGCCAACACCACTCATCCTCTGTGCTCTTATCTAAACTGTTGCTTCCTTGGACAGCACAAGAAAGAAGACCAAGAACCCTTTCTCTTTAAATAATAATCAAATACCTTTGTTAGTCCAAATAATCATGTGAAGCTTAATGTTCAATCAAAGAATATTAATTACTTGATATTATAATCCTATAATAGTATTTTAATAAGTAATATAACTTTAAACTAGACATTAGACTGATCACACGTAATGCTAAAAGTCACATGACACATTTCCTTTTTCTGATCCAATCAGAACCTTCCAGATCTGACACGAGGCATGGTTTTGTTGGTGTTTGTTAAATCCCCATTTGTGTCCAATTCTGATTCGACAGTAAATCAAAACATCCCAATTATAAAACTATGCCCCACGTCATCTTAACTTGAGTTCCAAGCATTCTAGAGAAGCTATTGGAATGGCCAATCCGTAACTTTCCTCTTGAAGCCAAAAGAACCCAACGACAAGCTCGATTAAATCTGTTGCATGTTCCACCTGCTGCAACGGTTCCTTCAGAATAATAGCTGAACCATCACAGCCCCCTTCAGGGTCTCACTGATGCCAATAAACTGTCGTGACCTGGGAGTAACTCAAGACTGGAAGGGTCGGCAACTGCTGCATATCTACAGGCGTCGGTTCCAAGAGGATCTAAAGCTGGACTCCCGACATTCCGGATCTAAACGGGGACTTCCGTTGGGGAACGTAGACCGACAGATGGCGTCTCAATGTGTGTTATAATCTCCAACCAAGCTTAGAGTGAAACACCATCTCACTCCCATCAGAACTAATCTTTTCTCTGGATTTGCTGGTTCTGAACATATTTCACACACACACCATCCTCAGTCTTACTCCAACTTAGTTACATCATACACATGGTGTTTAAAGTTAGTCTTGTTTAATTTGTTTAGAAATAAATCTTTTAACTTTTTAAACCTGACTCTCTCTTTCTTGGAGTTGATACAAAGTGTTGCTCAATCCCTGCAATAAAAAGATCCGATCTTCTGGTTTATTTATTCAAAGATCCATTAAGGTGATATTTCATATTTTATGATATTTCACATTCTATGGTTTCTAAGTAAATTTAAGAACATCTTCTCTACAATGTCTCTTGGGACCGCCTCGTGGATGCTCTGGATATCTGTGACTTGGTGTCGAATGGTTGAGACAATTGCTGCATTGTCGCCGGTTGTCTGATAACATTTTTCTTGTTGTTCAACACCATTTGTTTCCTCTGGTTGTATGGCTGCATAGTCTTTAAGATAACTTTTTCCTGAGCGCAGACCCATGTTGCTTAAAGTAACTTCCTGTGCTTGAACCCGCTGAGTTTTTACCATGCTGCTCTCACAACACGTAGCTACGTGGAGCTTGACAGCTAGCTAACGAACAAAAACAAAAAAAAGGAATCTTCACCGAGGCTTTCTTTTCTCACTGAAGATCTTTGTATAGTTTTATCATCGTAACTGTAACATACAGAAAAGAACACATTACTAACTGATGCACACAGTGTCACAATTACAGTTAGCTTAGCTCAGTAGCATTAGTGCATACATATTATTAAATAAGTGATTAACAAATGCATAAATAGTTCCCAAATATATCAATACTTATAAAGACGAATATCCTCCAAGGTACAAAACATATAAAGCACTTTTAGCGTGTTTGTAAGCCGTTTACTCTTATCTTGTCGGACTAAACGTTTGAAACAGCATCAACAAAAAAAACTCAAATCAAAGATTCGTTCGAGGCAAGAGCATTCTCTCTCTTGTGTTTCTGTATAAGCATTAAAACAAAGCGCTTCTGCAACAGCAATGTCTCACTATGAACTTCTTTCAGAATTAAAACGTTTTAACCTTTTTAACATGTAGTCACATTTAGTTTTTATTAACTTATCAATGTAACTTATTCTAATCATGAACTTAATCATTTTTACCTAAAGGCATCACACTAACCCTAACTCCACATTGGAGAGCACTCTGGCACCCTCTGTACCACCACTCTGTATAAAGGCTAGCAGTAAGCTATTTTAGTTCACTGACCATCAATAAAAAACACAAGAAGAAGAATTTCAATGTTTTTGTTGTCATCAAGGTGGAGCCTGGTCATAAAAGTAAGAAAGTGATGTCTTTAGAGGTGAAGCAAAGAGCTAAAACCAGAGCAAACCTTGGTGGACTACACTCATTTGATGGAGCTAAAGGAGGCTACGAAAACACGGACTGATGGTGACCTGGCTTTGTTGCTACTGAACTTGTGAGTAATAAATATGTTTGTCTAACAGTGCACTTCTTTCTACTTTGTGGCTTATTTAGTATCAGCTGGCTTGCGCTAGCATTAGCTTGTTGTTAGCGCTAGCTACAGCAGGCTGTGGCAGGGTTGTTCACAACAGCTGTAATTCCACTTTCAACCAGTCGGAGGGAGAGACATGAAACTAAGGTACTGTTGCTTTAAAGTTTTATAATTAAGCAACTCTGAAGAATTAATTTAGAAAATATCACTGACGAGCCAGTAAAATAACTCTTTGCTAAAAAAAAGTGCCTGGAAAACAATAAATCACTACAAGACTGAATAAATAATTTGTTGGCAAGGCATCAAATATGCAGATTTAGAGCGCGTTGGAACAAGCACTGGAGGGCTGAACACTTCTGTTGTTTATGATGTGTGTTTTTGTTTTAAATCAGTCTTGCAGCCCTTTGATGTAAACGTGTCTTTTCCCTCATGCTTCCCAATCTGCTTTTCATCATTATTACATTCTCAGTAATAAGCTCTTTATTTCCTTCATTTCAATAAGTGAAAACCACACAATAGAATATTTAATAGTGTGATGTGTCCTTGGATGAGTTTGCGGTCCTTTTTTTTGAAGAGTTTGAATTTGTGTGTGTGTGTGTGTGTGTGTGTGTGTGTGTGTGTGTGTGTGTGTGTGTGTGTGTGTGTGTGTGTGTGTGTGTGTGTGTGTGTGTGTGTGTGTGTGTGTGATTTAAAGGATGAAGCACAGCAGGAGGTTAAGACCTGAGATGGGTCGGGTCTTGTTGTCCTCCCTGCATTATTTAGCACAATGGGGAGTGCGTGAGTGATTGCTAACCCCAGTTAGCTTGAGAGATCAACGAGTGCAGCCTCATGTTTATGTGTGTGTGTGTTTACACTGAGTAGAAAAGCAGATGGTGCAGCATTTTTATGTGTCACCATTTGTGAAAAGAAGGTGCCCAGGACTTAGTTAATCGACTCTGACCAAAGGCTCCGTTGACATCACTTTACACTCTTTGGTGCTGTTCCCAATATCTCTAAATTTGACAGAGAAATAAACAAGTATAGGCGGGAAAAAGGACGGATGTGCATGGGTGGGGGCAGAGGTGATCGTTCCTGGTAAAGCCTCTTAGAGCTCTGTGGATTTACACTCTTGTCAAGTGACTTGTGTGTGGTTTATTTTTGTTTGAATGCCCTCACGAGCATCAAAAAAAAAAATCCCTTAATGTTGAAATGGCGAAACAGAAATGAGTTTTTATAGGTTGTGACTTGGATTTGGAGTTTCAGATTTGGTTTACTGTATGTTTGGACTACAGAGCCGAGAATAAAAACAAGTCAGCTCCACATTTATTCCAGAATGTTTGAAGTTACTGAACTTGTGAACTTCAAGTCTGACCTCAAGCCTGAGGCACAAAACAAACAGATTCTCTACACTGGTATGGGTTGATGTATCCCACAGGACTGGAAATATGTTAAGTCACTGTATTTATGCTCTGATATACCAACATGACATGAAGTAATCCTACTTTTTCACTGCTGTCATGTGGTTTTGGTGTGTTTTTCTTCTGTTTTCCACTTCTTTTGCTTCTAGGCTATTTTCCATTCTTCCTTCCCTTCACAACCTCCTTGCTGGGCTACTCACCCTCCCACACATCCATCCAGTAAACATGTTGGCATTCAAGCTCCGTTTTTAGAAAGCAAAACAACACGGGGAATTGACCAGAATATGGAAACAGTTAATCTCCCTGGGTGGATGAGTATCAAATCCTCAGTCACACGACGGAGGTGGAGAGAGACAGAGAGATGGTGGAGAGACGCTGTGTTCATTTCGCCGAGGCCAGATGGTGAGGGCAGCTTTGGTGCTGCACGGCTTCTCTCTCTGCCTGTCAGGCTGTGACACACACACACACACACACACACACACACACACACACACACACACACACACACACACACACACACACACACACACACACACACACACACACACACACACACACACACACACGATTACCTCAGCCTGTTTGTACAGCAGCACTCTACTGTATGTGCTGGCCTAGACTTATTTGATTAATCTTTTATTTGTCCACTGCTGTTATCACTGTTTTCCATCTCAACGTGTTGCTAGGATTAAGGCAGTTCCTGGTTTACTTCCTTGTTTGGATGTTTTTTTTTATCTGCTCCATCGTGTACATTTAGCACTGAAGTGGTCTGGAAATCTGTGTCTAGCCACCAAAAACACAGAAGTTAGGAAAGCCACCCTAATTACACAGGAATCTTCTCATCCCCTTCATTTTTTTAGTCTTCACCCTTTGGGCAAGAGACACAAAGTTCTACTGGCTAAAAAAGTGATTTATAAAAATAAATAAATAAATAAATAAACCAGCCATCTAAACAGAAATTATAATCCTCAACAATAAGGGAATTTCCACATTTTAGAGGTTTTTATGGACGGTCTTTGAAGTACCAATGTTTGTGATTTTAGCTTTATGTGGTTTTAGATTTCTGTGTTTATGTGTGTGGCATTACGTTTGAACCCAGTTTTCTGTAACCTCTGGTATCAGACAAATAGTTTTTCAATTTGATGATTAAAAATGTTTCACTTGCCTTCCAACTGCTATGCTAAAACAAAAACATATTTACGTCTACTAAATGGGAACTTCACAGCCATAATAGCCCAGAAGAAGACTTTTTATTTGACAAAAAAAAGCAATATTAGGAAAAACTGTTTTGTACAAGTTTTAAATAAATATTGCTTAAATGTGCAATATGTAAGAATGAGGTACGAATGCCATCCTGTGGTCAAATTTTCTAAACAAAAAGTGACTTTCTCTCCTGTTGTGTGAGTTTCACGTCTGTTGGCCAGTTACGGATCAGCACCGAGAGATTCTAGATGATAAACGAAGGCAAGTTGTGCACAATAAGTTAATAAGTAAATACATTGTCATATCTGGTGTTGGCACACTTGGGTGTTTTATGGTAGGGAGCACTTACTACACTCATTACGGTAATATGTCTCCAGGATTAGAAAGTGTGGTTGTTTGCTGTCTTGCTGTTAGCTTGATGTTATAGTTCTGAACGACTCATTAAAGGATGTAAAAGGCCATGACTGACTCATTATTCACTTTGCACATATGTTTCACTGTGATATTGAATTGCTGGTGACTGAAAAATAAGCTTAAAGGTATTGCAATCGTTTTACTTCCGGGTGGATCACGTCAACCATTGGTCCGCATAACTGTCAATCATTCTGGCGAAGGCTTAGTGTGAGTCCGTCGTACGTGCTCGCCCCTGGGTCAGTTTTCTCCTTGCGCATGTACACTTTTTTTCTCAACGGGTTGCGCACTTTTATCTCAACGGGTTCTTTTGAAAATGGCTGAGAGTCGCAAGAGAAAAGGTGTCTTCAAAGTCTGCGAGAAGAAGAGAAAGGCCTCTGAAGATAGAAATAAGACCAGAGTGTTTTTAGGAGACTCTTTTCAACGTTGGCGTTCGCTGAAACAGACGGTTGGGCTGTCCAAAGACGCTGCGGTTACCTGTTTTCTGCTGGACAGGTAAGCTAAGGTTCGGTATGCTATTTGGAGGAATGCATTTGAGATTATTGCTAGAAGAACTGTATGAAAATAAAACCTGTTTTATATTTGTGTGCGTACATCAGTTTCTGAAATATTCTACTGGCCAAAGCGCATTCTCTGCTCACGTGATTCCAACATGGCAGCGCCCGGTCTGCACGTGAAAAAACAAATGGCGAGAGAGCTGTAAATAGGGGAAATGCCTCTACTTGTTTTATTGTTGATGCATCGCCGCGATCGTCATTTCAAGTTTCGGAACGTATGTGTACGGTGGCTGCAAAGATGGAGCAGTCTAGGATTTTATGCCTATCTACCCAAAAAGATGCGCTTTGCTGACACAGAATCCTTCCGACCGTTCCGCCGTCTGTATCCTGAATCCTTCGAGAGTGTAGTGGAAAGAGTCGGCTCATCGATCCGCAAAGCTCCGTTTAGTTTATTTTATTTACATGCGGACAGGGGGCTGCTGCTTCTGAATCTGAACACATCTTTGAGCGGAGACATTAAAGACAATGTCCTGATGCATGAATCAAACAATACAGTAAAACACGTAAGGGAACGTCATATTTAGGATAGCATACATTTATTAGAGGTAGTTTCAAATGTAGAGCTGGACGACCTTCAGAAGAATATACTTTAAAGAATATCTGTGGACATCCATATGAAATATTTGTTATATTTGGATTTTGTATAAACAAAGAACTAATATGTTTAAAATTCTATATTTGTTACAGCTATGATAACATCACCTCCACTCCGCTGACTCACACTCAGTGGCCAAGACCAAAGCCTCCAGACGTATCAACAATTCAGGATTCACTGTCGGATCGGTAAGTTCCCAGCAAACAAACTGAGTTGTGCATGTGCGTAAGAATCTTGCATAGAAAAAGGCATACCAATTATCATGTGTTAGCTGTGTATTTATTTGTGTGTGCGCACGTGTGTGTGTGTGTGTGTGTGTGTGTGTGTGTGTGTGTGTGTGTATTACAGAGAAGCTGATAAACAGCCTGGATATCTGGCACGGTGCAATGAACCTCTGTAAAAAGATTCAAGCTGTATGTGTGCTGTTCCTGCTCTTCTTTTATTCTGGTAACACACAAATTATTTCATTCCTATACTCTTTATTTTTTCAGGCTGGACGAGAGAAGGACTGTGCCCTGCTTCTGATTTGGAACAGAGACGTTTGCAACCACTTTTGGTACTGCTGTAAGGAAGCCACATCTTTTTAAGATTTCATTGTAAGTTTTATTTCCTAGATACAATTTATAAGAAATTGTGGAAATGGTATTTTTCTAATAATTTCATAGTGAACATGATTCACTAACTTTATAAATTGTATTACAGCATCTAAGGACTGGAATTCTGCATCATGTGACGGATGAACATCAGTGGTACTTCGGGGCCTGTTGACATGGTCCATTGGAGGAAGATACGGATAAAGAATGGATTCCAAAGAGCTCTGCAGCACTAACAAGACTCCAGAAGATAGTTTTTGATGAACGCTGGTTGAAAAACATATCTGTCGTTCAGGTATAAATATATGTATTTGTATTCTAAATCACTGTCTACACCAGCCAAATGCTTTTTATCAGATTCTAGTATATTTGTCCTTTTTACCTTGTTTTTAATAGATCTACCTCAGACCTTGAGTCCTTTCATAGCCACATTCTTATGTATGCCTCCAAGCGTTTCTCCTTCACACCACCAGCGTACTCCGCTCGGACCAAGTTGGATTTTAAACATTACTTGTGGCATAAATGTAGTACAGAATGTGATTCCTCCAGCTACATCTTTTTTTTTATGTGCTGGAGGTGTTGGTGGAGCCGGGGTTCCTTCCCAGCGCCGTGGACCAACGACAGGGGAGCACACAGTCAGCCTGGTGCCCACATAGCAGGATCGGTCCGGCTGCGTCTCCCAGTCCAACCTCTCATCTGGCTCCGGGAGGGTGGAGAGGAACGCAGAGGCTAGACGGCGGCGTGGCGGAGTTGGAGGAGGAGAAGCCGGCTGGTGGCTCGGGGTGAGCCATCGGAGCAGGTACTCCCAGGGGAGAACCTCCCCGCTACATCCTTCGGGCGGTCGGTTCATTCTGTCACGGTGCAGGTGAGTTGAGTGGTTTGTGAGGATCCAAATGCTGGGGAGGAAGCAGACAGGCAATCTGGACATGCAAAAGGTCTTTTAATAGTAACTGCACGCAGGACATGGAAACAATGAACCGACGAAACACACAGAACTGAGAGGGTTTAAATACATGAGGGCTGGGAGCTTGGGTGATTGGAAAACGAGAGGCAGGTGGGAGGAATTAACACACGACTGAACAGAATGGGGAGACAGGACAGGGTGTGACAAAATGCTGTGGGTGACGAGGAGAGACAACTTGATGTTTACAACTGTACCTACATCTAAAGGGAACCAAATGTGTGCTTCTATTTCAGCTGTACATAATGTGCCATATCAAGCATTTTCTGGTGGATGTATGTCTTTCATAAAACATTGGTTTTATACGTACGAGCTAATAAAAAAAATCATAACCGTTTGTTTATATTTCCGCATACATTTTTGTAATAAATTTTTGCTAAGGTAAATTGTTTATGTATTTATAAATGTAAATAAAGTTGTGTTTGAACACCTAACAAACCCTGGAAGACTTTTTTTTATTAAAACCTGGAAATGTGACATATTTGAAGTGTCAGAATACAACCGTGTAATCAATCAGGCTATGAGTGTGCCAGTGAAGCTCTTGAGGTCTCTTTTTTTGAGGTAAATTACAAAAAGATTTATTAGGCATCTACAAATGTTTTACACTCTTGATGGAAGAAAGCCTACATACATTTGGATCTAGGAAACGATCTCTAATTTTCCACACACAACATGAAGGTATAACAATTCTAACACCTGGTCCCAGAAGGCCATACTGCCAGACAATAAAGTTCCTGTATGCAGCATAGCAGAACTGCCTATGGCTTTCTCCTCGATCTCGGATGTCAGCCTTCGCTCTAAGCAGGCGCGTTGCGAGCTTTTCAAAAGTGTGGGGGATGTTGTCTGTGCCTAAGATAATGTCATGTTATTCATCTTGTTAGTTCAATTTCCATAATAGCGGAGCAGGTGCGAATTTTAGACGTGTCACGCATGTCTCCGTTTTAAACATGTTTAAAATGTTCAGAATACAAATCCAGGCTCTGTCTCGTTAGATTGGTGTAACTAAAGTTTGTACTGAATGAAACTTTACATTAAACCATGTTGAAGAGAAAAGGGTCCGATTAAATCGTTTCCCCTCATTTACAGTCACGGACTACAGCGCAGTGCGTGTGGCTCTGGGGTTAATCAAGTTTACTTGTTTCTCTTTGCAACAATCTTCACAAGAAGGCAAAACTGTTAAATGGCAGCTTACAGATATTTCCATTTGACTGTTTATTTTGACGGATAAACTCAAGGATGTTGGTTGTTTTGAAAGAACAAGAAACCCGGTATTTCTGAGGGATGTGTCGCTTGGAAAAATGTTCTCTGATTATGAAACTTTGGCTGAATAGCGCTTGTTCCTAATATGGAGACGCATGACGCATCCAGTCTGAGGCAGAATCGCCTCTTCAGCTCAGAAAGCACCTGTAGAGACATTTGATCACGCACAAAGTTTATGTGGAGCAGAAGCGGTCGGGCCACGGCAGGTGAAATGTTCCTAGCCTACATGAAGTGAAACTGTTTAATTGTAACATTAATGTGTTACTGGACACACTGGTCTGGTTGGTTAGACCAGTGTTTGAAGTGGAAAACACACACACACACACACACATACACACACACACACACACACACATACACACACACACACATACACACACACACACACACACACACACACACACACACACACACACACACACACACACACACACACACACACACACACACACACACACACCAATTAAAATAATGCTGATAGCGTGGACTAGAAGACAGGTGATGGTTTACGTATTTAGATGATGATCAGGCTGCTGTAAAATGTAATCTCCATCCACATCCAGACACAATTATCCTCTATTCTTTCTCTATTTGCTCTGCTCTTGTCTGGGCTGACGTAGCTGACGGTGCGCGCGGCGCGCCTAACTAGCGGCTGTGATGCACATTTTATGCATTTGGAGAGGTGGGCTTGATGCTTTGCTTTTACTGGAAGATGGTCCACTTAACGCACGGGTGTAGACTACATATTAATGACAAATGAATGAAAATTAAATTGGAAGTTTTAACTTCATATTTTAGAAATAAAAATGACGGGGGAAAACATTTATGAGGTCTTTTTAAACTAAATTTTCTAGCGCGACCTGCCTGCTTCACTTAAGTCACTGCTTATTAAGGTCCGTCCAGAATTACCATGGCCCACCCAAAAATGAAAACCTGGCGCCGCGCCTGTTATAATTGTTGTTCTTCACTTTATCAAACTCAGACTTTATACAGCTAATGTCAAGATGTGTGTCAGAGTGAGTGCGACATAGAGAAACCAGACTGGTGTGGAAAAGAGCAAAACGGCTGGAAAAGTGTGGGTGTTGAATCCCCAACATCCATGGCTCTAAGGTCGTTCCAGATTCGTCTGGCCAGTCTCAATGCACCTTCATTCAAGATGTGTAAGTCCATGTGTGGCAACAGTGATGTACAGTTCTGTGGTTGTTGTTGACAGCATTTTTGTTCCAGCGGTGTTGCCATACTTCTGCACTGTGGACACACACCAGCTGGGTGACTGTGGTCCAGGTTGTGGACTCAGGGGTGAGACTCATCAGGTCAAAGATGAGACTAGGTTCCCGTGTGAGACATCTTTGTAGAAGCTGTTGGCACTCTTCTAGCGTCAGTCTCTTTATCCTAGCCTGTGAAAGCAAAATCACACTTTTAAATTGCTGTGCTTGGCTAACGGACTCATAAAACTTTCAGATACTACACGTTACAGGCATAAGGACCTTGAGTGCAAAATGTCTGGAATAAAATGAAGGAAGTACATTCACAACATTTTTCTGTGTATTCACTGTAGCACAATGTAACTCATAATGTTGGATGGAGCAGAGTATGTAATGAATACGTTAGAATAAATCCACATAACATATTTCACACATTCAAAATCGGGATAATCATACAGATGAAATAATTGGACTCGTGATGGAGCAAATGTAAAATAAAGGCTTTGCTTTTGGCATTTTTTGCGCAAAATTATGATAAGTTAGTAGATAGATGTGCACGCATACCTCTTCCACTGCCACCAACTGTTGCCAGAGTTGTTGGACCCTTTCTAAGTCATCCCGTGTAAGGTCAGCGACGTCGACCTCTGGCACGGCCGCCTCCGTCCTGCTCTCGGCTGCCGCGGGTTGTTGAAGCTGTGGCTCTTCCGGCCCTGGATCGTCTCACTCGGTCTCTAGGTGCACCCCTCATCCTGGATCTTGGTCGGGATGGACAGGGCACGGGCTCGTAGTCCGTATCGGAACCAACAAGACTTTCCTCAGGAAAGCTTAAACCAATCAGAAAAACAATATAACACAGGGGTGTCAAACTCAAACTCACATGGGGCCGAAATGAAACTCTGGGACGGAGTCGTGGGCCAAACTTAATATTTTTGAAAAAGTGACGGCAAATTTGCACATTTTCTTTATCAACATATATGCAATTTAGAACCTTTAAACTTGGAAACAAACTTATTTCTGCATTAACACTGAATGTGGAATAACCAAATTACACACGAGCAAGTCAGTTTTAAATAAAACGCATCAGTGGTATTCATTACTTGTGGTATAATCAGCATTTTATAAATCTATTCAGGATTTATGTTTTCTTGTTCATTCATTTTTCTTATTTTTTATTCTCCTTTTTTCTCCTGTAATACGTGTCATCGCTGCTGTGACGTCTAGCTTTCCCCACTGAGGAACAATAAAGGGATTTTCTATTCTATTCATCCATCTGCAGCCTTTCCACTTCCTGTTTACTGTAGGTTAAATCTTTTCTCACGGGCCAACAACAAAATAAAAATATCATTTTATCTTAAATGAAAATGCAACATCTCACCTGTTAACTTTCATGTTTTGGAGCAGAAAAAGAGCATAAAACCAACATATTTAAAGCTCAGTTTGTTCCACTGGTTTACTGTGATGCTCACCTGTTCCAGCCAGATACCTGCATCATGGGGCTGATCTGAGCTGAGGAGGAGACTCCTGTTGTTTTGTTTATCTTCATCATAATAACGACAACATTAGATGACAACAGGTGCTCACATAGGTTT